TTCTTCCACCTTACTAGGAGAAAATGTCATTCTAGATTATTAATAATAATAATAATAATAATAACAATAATAAAAATAATAATACTCACCAGTAGCTCTGATTCTCCTTGTCTTGCCTTTACGTGACAGTCACATTTAAACTGAGATCACGGGAGAATTGTACATTGTATAGTTTGTAATCTGATGCTGCAGAGTGCATAGGAAAGCCTGACTCTTGCTAAAGGCTTTTGTGTCTATATTATTTCCATACATTTCACTGACACTGCTCTGCACTCATTGTCATGTGTTCTTCTTTTCTGTATTGTCTGTCCACCTTTATAATCAGGCCCTATATCAACCTTTTCAACCAAAGTGACGTAGCATCCTTTTGGGCTCTTCAGGGGTGCCTTGGCAAAATGTCTTCAAAATTGCCCAAAATTGCAAAAAAATTGTCAACAAGCCAATGGAAGTATGAAGCTTGCTTTTTTCTGTTACACAAAGCCACAGGTTTTTATTGTGCAGGATTACAACCTCTGTGCAGGCCAGTGGCTGGCATCCTAACAACTGATGGTATCATAGGTTGGTAAGGAGGACTTTGGTAGCTGAGAGTGTCCTTCTTTGCCCCCTCTATTAGCACTGGGTTCATGTTAGCTGATTGAGGGAGGGAAACTGAGGAAGAAGAGAAACGCTGCAATGTTAGTACCTGTGGGCATACACTAAAATCATCATTAGCAGACACAAACACAATATAACGTACACAATTCACGCTAAAGCTAAACGATGAAACTGTATTGAATTAATAAATAAAGCTCTGTGTGGAAGTGAGGTCTTAGGGCTCATTAACATTTTTTTTTTACGTGGCTGATGTTACACAGCCATAAGTCCTAATTTGACATTCATGTGCGTGTAGGTGTGTGGCCCTGAAAAGAGACAATGTACATTCAGGACCACTTACCTGCACTTGCACACCTGTCAAATTAGGACTTGTGGCTGTCTGTACAGCTACTGCCTCCCCATAGAGTAACAGGCATCTCCGACCGCACAAACAAACCTTTCATTCACACTGTATGGCCCAAAAATTTCTTGTGAATGAGCCCTTAATTTGTTCATTATTCAGTACGTTGAGCTTAAGGAATTTCTGCTCATTTTAAAGTAACGATGACCTTAATTTATACCATGTGTGCAGATGTGTACTAAATTCCTTTTCTTGATGTCAATATTGTGGTAGAGAAGTCCTGGAGGCAAGTATGGGAGGAGGTGACGAAGGAGTTTCACACCTACCCCTAGCGTTGGTGGTCAGGCACTATAGTTGGCTCTGTATTATTCACCTATAGCAGCTCTCTTTCCCACTTCACAAGCAGGCCTACCACTGCTTGGTTACCTCCAGGTCTTATACACAATGCTATAGTGCCTGGCTACCTCGCTGGGGCAGGTGCAAGCTAAGCACAGCAAACAAGTACTTGTGGTTGGCAGACAGGCATAGTGGTCAACTGGCAGTCCAGGTTCAGGGCAAGCAGCATTAAGAGAGTAGTCAGGGTCAAATCTGTGGTCAAAAGGCAGGCTAAGTGAGTAGTCCAAAGTTCAATCCAAGGTTGATAACAAGGAAATCCAAACTAGCTGGCAGGACAGGGATCGGGCAAAGGCAGAGGTCAAGGCAAAGGAACAAGGAAGGTAAACAGGGAGTTTGAAGCACATGTTGCAAACACTATCACAAGCATGACACTAAGGGCTTGGCTGGCTTAGAACAAGTTTGGACTCCACCCAGAGGGTGCCTACATCAATCATGCTGCAGGTAGACAGTCAGGAGAGTGCAGCTCAGCTAAAACCAAGATGCTGGAATGAGACCAGCAGCTGCCATGGAATGGGAGCGTTACATGCTTCTGCCAGGTAGCTAGAGAGCGGGAGGTTTTTGAAGGGGCATAGAGAATGGTTTGGTTGCAATTCTGAGATGAGGTTGGTGATGTTGAGTTGTGGATGGTTTTGTGGAGGAATTGGCAGAGAAGGGTAGTGAACACTAAATGGTTGGTAGGATGGTTGAGTCTGGTGTGAGCATTCATGATGGACTCTGGGAATTGGGGGGGGGGGGGGGGAGGAGATAGCTTATGTAAAGGCTTGCCAAGGAGCAGGGAGTTGCAATAGTTGAGACAAGAGATAGCCAGGCAGCATATGATTGCATGTCTCTGCCATTACTTCTACCTCATAGGACCCCACCCCTATAAATGTAAGGCCTATCTAGGCTGTGCACTCCATAACTAGTCTTCTGAGCAAACTGGGAGGGATCCTTTGCTGCCTTAAGGCTGGTACACACAAGCCAAATATCGGTCTGTATTGGCCGGTCCAAAAGGGATTGCCCGACATTCGGCCTGTGTGTATGCAGCCTTTCCAGCTTCTGTCAAACGAGCATGCTGGAAAACCAACATCAAATCAGACCCAGCAGCCAATAGCTGTAAACGCTGATCAGTGTGTTCTGGTGTGGGGGGGGCTTTCAGAACACAAATAGCTCAAGGGGGGGGGGGGGGAGATCACCGCATTATTGCTTAGTTAGTACGGCAACCTCTCCATTTTTTTTTTCATTCAGCCCACTGGATTGAACGAAATAGAAACTTCTTGTGTGTACCTAGCATTAGAATTAATAATGAAAGGGAAATTATGGTAAGTATTTGACAGGGAATTTTACATTTCCTAACACAATGGCAGCATATGATTGGGAAATAACTCACCACAAACAAGAGTACCATGCAGAACTAGAAATTTTTTAATCACAGCTCTTTATTGATGGAATTTTGAGGCCAAAACTAAAGCTGGCCATAGATGGTTCGAATCTCGGCCAGTTCAGTAGGGACCAGCCGAGATTTGAACCATCTATTGACAGGCTAATTGTATCCAAATCGAATATTGTATGACTGAGTACCAGCCGGTTGGATTTTTCATGCGATTATCTCCAGTGGCCATAACCGCTAGCAAAAATCACTGTGTTCTCCTGGCAGGGACAACTACCTCCTGCCTCTTCGCTGAGAGAACACATTAGCTTCACGGGAGAGATTCCTCCATCAACACTGACTGTGTTCGTGGGGGAATTGAGCAATTTTCTTTACTGCAACCTGAGCCTTCAGAAAGGAAAATTGCATCAGCTATGGCTGCTTAGCAGGATAAAGATGCTGGCTTCATGCCATAGTGAGCCATAAAGGTATTAGTTGAGGACAAAATCGCTGCCTTGCAATTATTTCCGGTTCCACATGATGGGAAGCCTTCAAGAAGGCAGTGTGCTGGACTTTTTGCAGAAAGACCCCCGACCTAGGATAAGTTACAGTTCACTGAAAGTGCAAGTGTCACTGATAAGACTACTGTTCCCAGTTTGGATCTTCCACCAGGACTGGGTTTCTTGGCCACAAAACAATTCAGCCCAGATCACCACTTCTTTGTCTGGCAACAAGTTTGAAAACAGCCTTCCTGGTGGCAGTCAACTCAGCAAGGAGAGGCTTAGAAATTGCAACATTAGGGGAGCAAAAGAACCATTCATATATTGATATAATTTTTCCCTGATTGAGTAATGTTACTGGCAGTGCTGGGGTTTACCCAAAAATTTCTTCAGCCTTCCATATCAACTAACTAATAGTTTGTCAGGAAAACACTGAAAGTGTATACCAATGCAACTTCATCTTTCAGGTCTTCAGATCGCTTGTTTATTGTCCCCTCGGGCAATAACAAAGTTAACCAGGTGTCAGTCAATTCATTACTTCTTGGATGCTCATAGATATTTGTCCCTCACAGGGCAAAGGGCAAAGGGCTTGCCTTTTCCTGAGCAAGTAACAGCATGGTCTGCATGAAGCCTTCCACTTTGTGGGCAGCTGCCAGCAGAGTTTCTCCATTGAAGATTTGTAAAGCAGCCACATGGTCATCAATGCTCAACTTTATATTACAGTATTGTGTGGAGCCGTGACCACTAATGATTGGCAAGTTCAGACAGAAAGTTAGGTCTACTGTATTGTGCTGTATATGTTTTCTGCTTATTTCCCACTCATATGCTGACATTGAACTGTAATGAAAGCCAGAAATTTGATGCTCAATACTTGCCATAATTTTCCTTTATGATAAAACTCACTCACTGTAATGTATGGAGAAGCAGCATTGTCACCCTAGTAGAGGGCTTCAGAACCCCTCTCTTCTTCCCGATAACATATATGGGGAGGAGTTTTGCAGGCCACAGAGATAACTGTAAACCAATAGGTATTTTTCCATCTACTGAACAGATATAACAAAACCTTTTCAATTATATTTTCAAAATAGAGAAGTGTATGATTAAAAAAAAAAAAAAAAAAAACAAAACAATTATACTCACCTGGGTAGATGCAGCATCAGTCTGAGATTGAGAGATCAAAGACTACTGATGGCTCAGCTCTTGGTCTTCAGTGAGCAGAGACTGTCAGTCACTGGCTCTCTTCCCTGCCACTCCAGCGCTCACTGGAGTACCAGACTGTGGAGGGAGCGGCTATCATAGGCTCTCATCAATTCACTGAGAGGTTGAGCCAGCTGCCGGTCAGGCATCTGGGTGGATCAGGTCATTAAAGTCGGGATCCCTCCAGAGCCTGGACCGGCTAAGTGATGTCAAGCAACAGCGGACTTTAGTCCATTGTCACTGAAAACAGGTCATGGAAATGCAGAACTAAGTGCATTGCTGTGACCTACAGGAGAAGTAGGGCCAAGAGAGGTTTGGTCCTACTTCTCCTTTAACAGACCAAAAGGGAGTAAATATGAGAAGTTAGGGTTTACATACACTTTAGTGGTCTCAGGGATTATGAAAAGCAGATCTCTTTTTGCAGTAGTCATATCTTGTTCAACTTTATATAAAGCAGAAAGGACACTTAGCAGTCCTGAGAGGTGGTGGTGATGACACCATTGTCTATCAATATACAAAGAACAAAACATTAACAGATACACTATATTACCAAAAGTATTGGGACACGCCTTTATATCATTGAATTCAGGTGTTTCAATCATCTCCATGGCCGCAGTTGTATAAAATCAAGCACTTAGGCATGCAGACTGCTTCTACAAACATTTGTGAAAGAATGGGTCGCTCTCAGGAGCTCAGTGAATTCAGCGTGGTACCGTGATAGGTTGCCACCTGTGCAATAAGTCCATCCATGACATTTCCTTGCTGCTAGATATTCCACGGTCAACTGTTAGTGGAATTATAACAAAGTGGAAGCAACTGGGAATGACAGCAACTCAGCCACGAAGTGGTAGGCCATGTAACATGACAGCGGGGTCAGCGCATGCTGCGCAGGAGTCAATAGCTAACGACCTCCAAACTTCGTGTGGCCTTCAGATTAGCACAACAACAGTGCATAGAGAGCTTCATGGAATGGGTTTCCATGGCCGAGCAGCTGCATCCAAGCCTTACATAACAAAGTGCAATGCAGAACGTCAGATGCAGTGGTGTAAAGCATGCCGCCACTGGACTCTAGAGCAGTGGAGATGTTCTCTGGTAATCTGATGGACATTTCTGGGTTTGCGGTTGCCAGGAGAACAGTACTTGCCTCACTGCATTGTGCCAAGTGTAAATTTTGGTGGAGAGGAGATCAACGGTGTGGGGTTAGTTTTCAGGGGTTGGGCTTGGGCTTCAGGGGTAAGGGAAGTCTTAAGGCATCACCATACCAAGACATTTTGGACAATTTCATGCTCCCAACTTTGTAAGAACAGTTTGGGGATGGCCCTTCCTGTTCTAACATGACTGTGCACCAGTGCACAAAGCAAGCTCCATAAAGACATGGATGAGCGAGTTTGAGGTGGAGGAACTTGAGTCCTGACCTCAACCCGATAGAACACCTTTGGGAAGAACTAGAGCGGAGACTGTGAGCCAGGCCTTCTCGTCCGACATCAGTGCCTGACCTCACAAATGCGCTTCTGGAAGAATGGTCAAACATTGCCATAGACACACTCCTAAACCTTGTGGACAGCCTATCCAGAAGAGTTGAAGCTGGTATAGCTTCAAAGGGTGGGCCAACTCAATATTGAATCCTACGGACTAAGACTGGGATGCCATTAAAGATCTTGTGCATGTAAAGGCAGGCTGACCAATACTTTTTACAATACAGTGTATGTACCACAAGACCCTCACCAGCTTCAGAGGAAAATAGAATGACTTCATTTACATAGTCATAAAATTGGTAAGACTGAATAAAGACATTGGTCCATCCATTTCAACCGGAGAGTGTGTGTGAGACTACTGTATTGTGTTTGCTAAGCATCACATCTAAAAGTTCTTTGAATTTGTCTCCACTTTCCACTGACACCACCCACTCTGTAACCACTTACACAGCACAAGACTGAACCAATTCTCACCTAGATTCTTTGTGTGGCCATATGGCTTTTTTAGAGACCTAAGGTCAAAATGTTTCCTCTCTCACAGCTAGAGTCACCATTCAAGGATCTGTATATCGCTATCAGGGGTGGACTGACCATTTGGAAACTCGGTCACTGCCTGAGGGCCCGGGGTCAGTAGGGGGCCCCCATGAGATGCCCCTGGTACCTTTTTCATAGGCTTTTTTGAGTTTGGGCAAGGACACAGGGGCCCCTTGATCCCTTATTGCCCGGGGGCCCCATGAGTTGTCAGTCCGCCACTGATCGCTATCATATCTCCTCTAAAGCATGTCTTCTCCAGGGAGAAAAAGTTTAGTCTTTGTAATCGGTCCTTATAACTTAGGTCCTGCAGTCCCCTTTATTAGCTTTGTTGCCCTTCTCTGGACTCTCTCCAGTTCCAGCACACCCTTCCTGAAGACTGGATGGTATACTCAAGATGTGGCCGAACCAGTGTTTTATAAAGTGGTGGAATTATAGTTTTATCTCTTGAGTAAATACCCCTATTAATGCACAAATCATTGGCTTTGCATGCATTTGCTGAGTCTGTCATCTACCAGGACCTCCAGCTCCTTTTCAATCCTTGATTCCCCCAGAGGTTCTCCCCTTAGTGTGTAGGTTGCATTCATATTTTTAGGCCCTGAGTGCATCAAATTACGTTTTCCTACACTGAACCTCATTTGCCATTTAGATGCTCACTCCTCTTATCGAGGACTTCTTGCAAAGTTTCTATATCCTATTGTGAAGTCATTGTCCTGTGTTTAGTTTTGGATCGTCAGTGAACAATGAGATTGTACTATTTTATTCCAACCTCTATGTCATTTATGAACAAGTTAAACAGAATTGCTCCCAGGACAAAGCACCATCAGAGAAACAAAGAAAACAACAGGAACACAGAAACTGGAAATGAGATCATATCCATGTACTTCTACTATGAAGAACAACACATAATGCAAGCATTAAACACTACCATCTAGTGGCTGAACTGTAGTTATTTTTTAATATAGGAGAATTTTTTGCACCTTTGTCTGTATATACATATAGCGTGCAAACACATTATCACCAACCAAGGTTTCAGCAACTTGTAGGGCCTCTTTCTCAAGGCAAAGTAAGGGGCCCTACAAGGTCTCAGCATAATTGATGATTTTTTTTTTTTTTATGTCTGAATAAAGACATTCCATTTTCATGTAGGGATGACATATTTGTAGAAATAAAAATAAAATTGTATACTGGTGGAGACATTATATAAACATTGTACAGATTTCCAGCACAGAATCTTATCCTTATTAACTGCAGGGCAATAAGTTAGCTTATTTCAGCTAGAAATTGTAAAATAAACTGTATTTTTCTGTACACAGATTATAGAAATTGTACAAATTTGTTGGACAGGATTTCATACATTTTTAGTAAAGGCAAATTTGGAGGCAGTTAGCTTCTTTCAGCCATAAAATAATAAATGTATCAAACTGAGTACCATAAAATGTTGTCCATTTTTAAAGACAGTGCACTGCTATTCAAAACAATCATTCATGGCCATCACAGTATTTCCCCTGCCAAAAACATGATCAATGTGTAACAAAGCTGCTTAAAATCAAGGTTTTGGGTACTGCTGGTGCCAGTACACTTTAACCCAACACAATTATTGGTACAGTAGAGGAGAAAGTGGAGTATCAATCTTGGCAAAAAATTTTAAATTTTCTGCCACCATGACAAAAGTTACTCAATTTTAGGGGTTGCTTTGCTGCTGCAGGCGCTAGATGTCTTGACCGTGTACATGCAATTATGAAATCTGAAGACTACCAAAGAATTCTGGGGTACAAAGTAGGGCCCAGTGTCAGAAAATTGGGTGTCCATCAGAGGGCATGAGTCTTACAGCAGGAAAATGACCCAATGCACATGTCAAAAAGCACCCAGAAATGGTTTAATACAAAGCGCTGGAGAGTATTGAACTGGCCAGCAATGGGTACAGATCTAAATCCCATAGAGCACCAGTGGAGACATATCAAAACAGAAGTTGGGAAAAGGAACCCTTCCAATCTGAGAGACCTGGAGCAGTTGGCGAAAGAAGAGCGCTCCAAAATTCCAGTAGAGAGGTGTAAGAAACTCAAATTGATGGTTATAGGAAGTGACTGATTTCAGTTATTTATTCCAAGGAGTGTTCTACCAAATATTTAAACTGAGGGTGTCAATAATTTTGTCCAGTCCATTTTTGGGGTTGTGCGTGGAATGTGCCAGATTTGTTTTTTTTTTCTCCACTTTTTTGTGTCATACCAATACAAGCAAAACAAATAAAAACATGAGAATGCCTAAACATTTGTAATTGCAACAATATTCTGCCCGAAGTGGTGCCTTGTCTGACAAAAATACAGGAATGCCAATATTTTTTGGCCATGACTGTAAAAGAAGGAATGAATGGTGGCCCGGTGTGCACATATAGACAGGAGATGACAATCGTGGCAGTATGTGTGATCTACTTCAGGTCTGCGGTGGTGAAGTTTGGGCTGTACAGAAAAAAAAAATTTTTTGGTGAAAGAATCCCCCAAAATGTATTTAGCATCATCTGCAGAAAGGGCTTGGTGGTTGTTGCTGTTCATTTTAACAAATGTCAGCCAGTCAATTGTGTCTGGGGACATAGGATTCTTTTGTATGTCATCAAGCCCCCAGCAGCAGTAAGTGTATGTTCAGAGAGCATGCTGGCTGCAGCATAGTCCTGTTGGAGATACAACAGCATGTACTATATAGTATTGTGTGTTGATATCATTTGACCAGTAGATGGCACTGTACAGTAAGGTTACTAGCTGTGCATATGTGTAAAACTTGTTGGTTCTCTCTCTTCAAAACCAAGATGTCTGCTGAAATGTGCTCTGTATGTTTGCAACTTAAGCCACACAAGTAAAACAGTGTTCTGCCTCATCACAAGCTACCAGTGTCTTCTTTAACACATAACCAACAAGTCCAGCAGCTCAATTGTATACTAAGCAAGCTCTGGCTACTTGTCTATCTTCGTGACCCAGTAGTCAAGGGGGTCATTCATATGAATAATGTCAACATCCTTCCTTGACCCCATATAATCACTCACCATGTGATGCAACTGCTGGCAATAGCTGCTGGCAGCAAACATCCATGGGTGCTGAGGACTGCACATTTTTTGAACCCATCACTTATGCAGCCACAACCACCAGCGCTGCACTTTTCACCAAGAAGCTCTTGGCCACATTGTTTGTGAGACGGTATACTACCAGCCTTTGGAAAGGTGGTTAACAAGTTCCTCTGCGGTAGTTCTTCCACGTGTTTTATCTTCTGCACTCTTAGAGGGCAGGATGAGTTCGGCAACTTGACCTTTGTAATGTGGATTAAGGATGGTTGCCAAGCAGTAATGGTTCTAACCTTACAGCCATAATTCCTAGGGTTCTTTTGCATGTTCTGAAGCATGAAGGTACTCATGCAACACAACTTACTGGAAATGGAGCTATTTATCCCCAACCACATAGAACTCCTGAGGTTTGTGAGAGATGAAACCCAGCTCTGCAAGCCTGCCCCATGCCATCCTCCTCCTCAGCAGTGGAGATGTATTCTCTGGTGTGACAAATCGCGCTTCTCTGTCTGCCAATCTGATGGATGTTTCAGAAAAAATGAGGAAGGGTTGTAACAGCGCAAACACTGCAAAGTCCTGGGAAATGGTAGTATGGGTGATGGTGGTATTAGTGGCTACTGTATGAAGAGCGTAGGATTCCGTGTGGCACTGAGGGCAAGGCTTCCAAATAAGCTGTAGCAACTTCTGTAGATGAGAAAAAGGAGAGAAGCGCCTCTAAGTGCAATAACTCTTTTAATTCAAGTCTAAATGTAGAAACACTCACATGTGTGAAGTAATCATAAGCATAAAAACCGTGGTTAACAATAGTTAACGGTGGGGTGGTAACCCGGGTGAAGAGCCGTCATCTCTCTGCGATGTGGGGAGGTCAGCTCTCGGCTGGAACAGCGTGGTGGCTGGAGGGGGAACAGTGGTGAGGCCAGCCTTCATGCACGTCCTCCCTCAAAGCCGGATGGAACGCACGCTGGAACGTAGCGGCGGCGTGGCCGTGATGACGTCAGATCCCAGGGTGCACTGCGACGCGTTTCGGAGCATGCACTGGCCGTGGAAGGCGGAAGTGCACTCCTTTTTCAAGCAGGGGGAAGTGGATGAACAGGGGTGAATATATAGGGAACGTG